CACTAATTGACTGAAAATATAAAAGGATAACTAATTGAGTAATATTCTACCATTATATATTTTAATCCAAGTAATCCGTCCTGATGGATTGAAGGTGTTAGCTCTAGACGAAGATGAACAAGATTGTGTTGTCACTATTAGGAGTTTATATTATTTAGTAGTTGAGTTGTGTTAGGACTACTCTTGTGTAGTCTTATATTCTCTCTGTACGTTTACATTGATTCGATATACAGAACATACTATTCTCATCTGGTATCACGAGTTCACGGTGATTTCTTATGGCGGCCCTCGGTACTGATGATGGCTCAGTTGGTGTTTCGTCCGAACGGACTGTCTCCGAGGCTGCACTTTCGGCTATTCTTCAGTCGAATGTGTTATTCTCTTCCGCCCACCACTTCGTTTCGATTAAACTGACGTCCCGGAATTATCTTTTCTGGCGGACGCAGTTGTTGCATTTTCTTGATGGTCAGGGGTTGCTTGGATTTGTGGATGGCTCTGCGTCGTGTCCGCCGGAGACCACGTCGGCTGTTTCTGCCGAAGGAGCGCTGGTGGCAGTTCCGGCGATGTCTTCTGCTTCTCGCGTTGCTTGGCTTCGCCAGGATAAGGCGGTGCTTTCTCTGCTGATTTCCTCTCTTTCAGACGAGATGATGCACCTTGCTGTTGGAGTGACGACGTCTCGGCAGTTATGGCAGTCGGTTGAGCGGGAGTTGGGGTCGACGACCCGTGCTCGTGCGCTCCGACTTTCTGGGCAGCTGCAATCGCTTCGGCAGGGAGACTCGTCCATCACGGATTATCTTGGCCGTGCTTGCGTCTTGGTGGAGGACTTGGCTTTGGCCGGCCGGCCGGTGACCTTGGAGGACCAAAATATGTTCATCTTCCGTGGGTTGCGTGCTGAGTACCGGCCGTTGGTGGCGTCCTTGACGAGAGGTCCTCCTCTCTCTCTATCTGAGCTCTCTGATTTTCTGGTTTCGCAGGCATTCATCTGCGCGGAGGATCCTGGTGACTTGGCTGCTGCTCCGGTTGCCATGGCTGCCCAGCGCGGTGGTCGTTCCGGGGAGCAGCGCGGTGGCCGTGGGCGGCGTGGTGGCCGCAATCGGCAAGGTGGCCGCGGTCGGGGTGGTGGTGTGCGATGCCAAATTTGTAACGGGTCTGGTCATTCGGCGCTAACTTGTTTTAAGCGTTATTCGGATGCTCCCGGGCCACAGGCTCATGTTGCTTTTCCCGTGGAGGATTCGAGCTCGATGGGCTCTCAGCAGTGGTTTCCCGATACGGGTGCTTCCAATCACGCTACATCGGACCCTTCCTTGATGTCTGCTACGACCCCTTATTCTGGACCTGACACGCTCCGGGTTGGAAACGGTAACTCTTTACCTATTGTTAGTACTGGTTCGGCTTCGGTAGCCTCTTCTAGTCGTTTATTTAATTTATCTGATGTTCTGTTCGTTCCTGGTTTGTCTGCGTTTCTGTTATCTGTTCAGCGCTTTGCTAAAGATAATCCTGTATTTTTTGAGTTTCACTCGGACTTTTTTCTTGTGAAGGATCGTACCACCAAGGCGGTCCTGTATAAGGGGCTGGCCTCGGGTGGTCTTTATTCGTGGCCGGTCTCCCGTTCGAGTCCCGCTGCTTTTGTTGCTTCTCGTGCGTCCTCTTCTATTTGGCATAGTCGGCTGGGTCACCCTCATGATCGTGTTCTGCGTCAAATTTTGCGTCTTTGTTCGCCTAGTACTAGTCTTAGTAATAATTCGAGTCTCTGTAGTGCTTGTATGCTTGGCAAGTCGTCTAGATTTCCTTTGCCGCGTGTTGCTACGGCTACATCTCATGTATTACAGTTAGTTTATACTGATATTTGGGGCCCAGCGCCTTTTTTGTCTGTCAATGGTTTTCGTTATTTTGTCTTATTTGTTGATGATTATACACGTCATATTTGGTACTATCCCATGCGTGCTAAGACGGATGTCTATGCAATTTTTGATCAGTTTCGTGTACTAGTAGAACGCTCTTATAATCGTAAAATTGTTGCTATTCAGTCCGATTTAGGGGGAGAGTATAAACGTCTCCATAAAACGTTTACCTCTCTTGGTATTAATCATCGGCAGTCTTGTGCGTATACCCACGAACAAAATGGTCGGGTAGAACGTAGGCATCGTCATATAGTCGAAACTGGTCTTGCTTTGATGGCTCAGGCGTCTGTTTCGTCTTGTTATTGGGACTACGCTTTTGAGACCGCTGTTTATCTCATTAACAGGATGCCCACTCGTGTGTTGAATGATGATAGCCCGCATTTTCGACTTCATCGTTCTAATCCTTCTTATTCTTTTTTGCGTGTTTTTGGGTGTCTATGTTTTCCTCTTTTGCGTCCTTACAATCGTCATAAATTGCAGTTTCGGTCCACCCCGTGTGTTTTCTTGGGCTATCCGCCCTCGTTTCGTGGCTATCGTTGTCTGGATTTGTCTAACAATAAGGTTTTCGTTTGCCGCCATGTGCGGTTTGATGAAACCGTTTACCCGTTTGCTGCTTCTGTACCTGCGCAGGTTTCAGGTTCTGCTGTGGTCTCCCCGTGGGGGGTTGGTGCCGTACGGGTTCCGGCAGAGTGTGTGGGGCATGTTTCTGATGAGCCTCCTGTTCAGGTTGATGTGCCGGATTTGGTTGATGATTCCCAGGCTTCGGATTCTCGCACGGTGTCGGATCCGGCTCCGGATGGTGCGGCGTTGGCGAAGCGGACTGCTCGTCCACGTCGTCGGGCTCCTAAGCAGGTATTGCCTCGGTCACATGTGATGGCCACACGTAGTTGGGGACCGACTGAGCATGTTGCTTTGCTGTCTGCTTCTGATATGCCTGAACCGACGTGTTACTCTCAGGCGGTGCAATATCCAGAATGGCGTGAGGCCATGGATTTGGAGTTCAATGCCCTATTGCAGAATGATACTTGGCGCCTGGTTCCGTGCACGCCTGGTATGAACGTCGTTGGTTGCAAATGGGTGTTCCGAACTAAGCGCAAGGCGGATGGTTCGGTTGAGCGTCATAAGGCACGGTTGGTCGCCAAAGGCTTTAATCAGGTCGCCGGGAAGGATTTCTTTGAGACGTTTAGCCCGGTGGTTAAACTGACTACAGTCCGGCTTTTATTGTCATTGGCTGTTTCGCGTGGGTGGACGATTCGGCAGCTTGACGTCCACAACGCTTTCTTGAATGGAACGCTCGCTGAGACAGTTTACATGAAGCAACCTCCGGGTTATGAGGACAAAGCTGCTCCTGGGCATGTGTGTTTGTTACAGCGGTCCTTATATGGTCTTAAGCAGGCTCCTCGGGCGTGGTTTAATCGCCTGCACTCTTTCTTGGTTTCTGTTGGTTTCACTCCATCTAAAACTGATGTTTCCTTGTTCATTTATACTCGTGACTGTGTTCATCTTTATGTGCTTGTGTATGTGGATGACATTCTGGTCATGGGCTCAAATTCCTCGCGTGTTGTTGGTCTTCTTGGGCAGTTGGCTTCAGAATTCAAGATCCGTGATATGGGTGCTCCGTCCTTTTTCCTGGGTATTGAAACTGTGCCGTGGCGTGATGGCCTTTTGTTGTCTCAACAGCGGTATATGCAGGATATTCTAAAGCGTGCTGGCATGGTCGACTGCAAGCCTCTAGCCACGCCGGCTTCTCTGGCTCGTTCCCTGAGGGTTCGGCTGTTCCTTATGCTGATCCCACGCATTATCGCAGTCTTGCCGGGGCATTGCAGTATCTTACAGTTACTCGTCCGGACTTGTCGTTTGTGGTTAACAGGCTCTGCCAGCATATGCATTCTCCGACTACTGAGCATTGGAGTTGGCTTAAGCGTGTCTTACGCTACGTTAAGGGTACTCTGCACTACGGTTTGTACCTTCGTAAGTCTTTGTCTATTACTTTGCATGCTTTCTCGGACTCAGATTGGGCTGGTGATCCGGACGATCGGAAGTCCACATGTGGTTTTGCTGTTTTTCTGGGTGGCAATTTGGTTTCTTGGGCCTGTCGGAAGCAACGCACTGTGGCGCGTTCATCTACTGAGGCTGAGTACAAGGCTCTGGCTGATGTGTCGGCGGAGGTTACTTGGTTGGTTTCTTTGCTGCGTGAGCTTGGGGTGTCCTCGGGTTCTCCACCGACTCTCTGGTGTGACAACTTGGGTGCTACTTACTTGTGTGCCAATCCGGTCTTCCATGCCCGTACGAAGCATGTCGAGATTGACTACCATTTTGTTCGTGACAAGGTAGCTAAGAAGGAGTTGCTGGTCAGTTTCATTTCTACCAAGGACCAGCTTGCGGATGTTTTCACTAAGGCTCTTCCCGGTCCCCGGTTCTCCTTCTTGCGTGACAAGCTCAATGTCGTCTCCCGTCAACCATGTGCTTGAGGGGGAGTATTAGGAGTCTATATTATTTAGTAGTTGAGTTGTGTTAGGACTACTCTTGTGTAGTCTTATATTCTCTCTGTACGTTTACATTGATTCGATATACAGAACATACTATTCTCATCGTCACTACCAATGTCGTCTACAAAGAGGTTTCAATAATGTGTAAATATAATCGGTGATATTAAGTTTTTTTTTTTTTTAATGAAAAAATTGTTATATATCTAGACAAAAAAATATATATACCATACAAATGAATTTGGATACCAATTCATTTCTATAATTGAGTTGTTAGAGAACGAACACATTTGCCTAATTTATGAAAATTCTAAATAATGATAAATAAAATTTTCAAAGTTATAGCACCGTATGCATACATCTAGAAATTAGCTATTAATTTGACCAATTATTTGCACAAATTCAAGCAATGATAACATCAAAATATATAAACGATCCAAACCATATATTTAATTGCACTATATAATATTTAATATTCTAATTTAAATAATTATATATCGATTCATATATTCTTAATATATTACAACAAATTCATTCCGTGCATCGCACGGGTACCAAACAACAAAATCATACACGAGTGAGTAATTTATGGGATAGTAAAAGAATGGTTTTGGAATGTTTTGTGATGTGCGATTGTGATCTTGGAAGTCCATCACTACCCTATTCATGTCCACACAATTCCCCCACACATCCATTTCAAGTTGAAGCCATTAGCCATGCATCCGCTTCTCCACCTCCACTCCCCCCCTATCGCCCATTCCCATGGCGGCAACACCTTCTGCTGCTCCACAAATCATATCATCGTCTTTTTCCTTTCCCAATCACCAATCAAGAATCACCCCTTTCATCTCTGTACGGAATTCCAGAAAAATTCCCATGCTTGCCTCCAATGGCGGCCTACAAATCACCAACCCTGCAAAAATCAAACTTCTTGGGCCACACCCCAAGTTCTCGCAATTGGGTACTCACAAATCTCACTCCACTCCCAAATTCCTTGCCCATTCAGTGGGATCAGACGGTAGTGCTAGCACTTCCACAAGCCTATCAAGCAAGGTAAAACCTTTTTATCTGCAAAAATCAGTTTTATGAGCAAATGTTAGGTTTGTGTTGGGCGGAGGCCGATAAGTGTCAAGTCCAATAACATGTGGTTAGGTTATTGTTGACTGTAGGTAAGTAAAGAGCTAAGTCCACCACTTTAACTCTAGTAAAGTTGCGCCTTTTGGTACTAGCTATAGCCTTTGACATAGATAAATGTTTGATCTAACAAGTGAGATTAGAGCCAAATTATGGGAATTATGGGTCTGAGGGGATTGTGGGTTTGAGAGGATTGTTAGACAGAGGACGATAAGGGCTAGTTGAGCCAATCCTTATATCCTGCACCACGGTGCATATAGCACTATGCGCCCCGCGCCTCTCAAAACGACGTCGTTAGCACTGTGCGTCTTGCGTCTTCCAAAACGACGTCGTTTTGTTAAGTTGTGTGTGGAGTTGACGCGACAGTGTATATGTGTATTATGTTATATAATTATATACATTATGTTATACAATTATGTACATTATTTTATACAATTATATACATTTTTTGTTATACAATTATGTACATTCGAACACGCGATTTTTTTTCAACGGTTAAAAATTTATGTGTATTCTGTTATACAATTATGTACATTTTAGTATACAATTATGTACATTTTCAAAACATAAATTCTTTTTTTAACAAGTTAACAACAAACACAGAAAAATAGAATTTTCAAAAAAAAAAAGTGCAAAATGACGTCGTTTTGCACCAAGGCGCACAATGCAATGTGCACCCTGGTGCACGATATAAATTGCCCTAGTTGAGCACCATGTAGGTAGGAGATTGTTGGACTAAGACAGGTAAGGGTCAAGTCCGACACCATGTGGCTGCTAAGTTGCATCTTCCCTATTAATTATAGCTTTTGACACAGTGGTAAGTGTATTCGATCCTAACAATTTTGGTACGCCCTTCAATATATAAGTTATGAATTTTTATTTTTATGTTTTTTGTTTTAAAGGTGATTGGCGTTTTCCATTTGCTAGTTTCACTTGGGCTTATACTGGCAATGGATAAGTACCTGAAGCAGGCATTTGTGGCTGCAGCCATTAAGTTCCCAAGTGCTCTATTTGGGATGTTTTGCACTTTCACCGTTTTAATAGTTCTTGATACCATTCTCCCTGCCGCAGCAACTGCCTTGGTGAACTTCTTTGAGCCTGCACTTTTATTTATTCAAAGATGGCTTCCACTGTTTTATGTGCCTTCTTTGGTGGTCTTGCCTCTAGCTGTTAAAGACATTCCAGCTTCTTCAGGGGTGAAGATTTTTGGCATTCTAGGTACCCTTTTGCTTATTTAACACTACAGCACCTTTGTACTTGTGTTTTCAATTGGATACTGTTAAGAGTCCCACCTTGAAAATATAAAAGAGAACATATGTGTTTATAATGCCATAAGTTAGACTAGTTAATTCTTGAAAATATAAGAGAGAACGTATGTGTTTATAAGACCACAATTTAAACTAGCTAATTGATTGGATTCAATCTTTTTAGTGTGGTTTGGCCCATGTGCTTTATAGCCCAGTTGAGTGACCTTAACTTGGCCCAATATGATACTAAGGGAAAATTATACCATGGACCAGGGTCTACCTTGCACTGTGTCAATTGTTATACGATGGACCTGGGTTCATATTGCATGTCAATTGTTATACGATGGACCTGGGTTCATATTGCATTGTGAACCCTAATGCAAAAATTATGTACCTTCAGTTAACTGCAGATACAAAATGTGTCAACTATAGATACAAAATTTGACAATTGCTAACATAGTAGAAACTATCAACTATAGATACAGAATCTGAATGTTATTTTTAGACCAGGGTCTAAAATGCAAGGTAGATGACCCTTGTCCATGGTATAATTTGCGGCATTGTGTATCCTGTAGTTAATAATTAATGCAAGGTAGATGACCCTGGTCCATGGTATAATTTGCTGCATTGTGTATGCTGTAGTTAATAATTTATGTTATGTGCCTTTAATTTGTTTACATATACAGAAAGTAACTGCAGACACATAATTTTTTAATTAGGGTTCACAATGATGAACCCTAGTACATGGTATAACAATAATTGGATACTAGGAATACATGAAACATCTAGCTAGTTATTTTACAGTTCTAATTCTTAATGTAAAAAAGTTTTTCATCATGCAACATGGTGTAACTGAATTTGGATTTGTGCAGTTGGGGGCTGGCTAGCTTCACTTTGTGTTGCTGGCTTCACAGCTATTTCAGTAAGAAAGATGGTAAAAACAGAAATGATACCAGCTGAGCCTATGTCAAAGCCATCTCCTTTCTCGTCTTTGGAGGCATGGACATGGACTGCAATTCTCGTGATATCATTTGTCGGGGCACTTTTCTACCCAACAGCTCTCGGCACAAATGCCAGAACATGCCTGCCTTTCCTACTCTCGGCTACTGTGTTAGGCTACATTGTTGGTTCAGGGTAACACTCCAATCATATTAGTGTTCCAACTTCTTTTCAGCTAATGCCCTGGAATATCTTTGTGTCCGTGTTTTCAGTTAACCCGATTTGATCTGGTGTGTTGTTTTAATCCTCTCTCACTGGTGAATTTGATGCTCAGGCTTCCAGCAGGCGTGAAGCTGGTTCTTCATCCAATCGTTTCCTGTGCAGTCTCTGCAGTTCTCGCTGCTGTAGCTTTTGGATACTTCTCTCGCTCTGGACTTGATCCAGTTTTAGGTACGGACCGTACTTCGTATATGTCATCCTTTGGTTCATTAGCAATATTTGCTAGTGTTTAGTTTGTCTCGTATAAGGAATAGGAGTGGAGCTGATTGGGTCGGGCCATGGTACTGGGGTAGATGCCTATCAATCAAGCTCATTTAACTGAGATTTTAGTGGATTTTTGTATTCATGTCTATCACAAAATGCACATTAGCGAGTGTAAATGCCATTTCGTATGAATCGAGAGAGAGGAAATGCATAATCCTCTTTGTTATTTAATCAGGGTATTATCTTACAAAGGCCTCAGCTAATCCTGGAGCTGGTGACATTTTAATGGGATTTTTGGGATCAGTTATCATCTCCTTTGCTTTCTCAATGTTCAAACAAAGAAAGGTCAGTTTCTTTCAACTGTATATCGCATAAGAAAGGGCTATTTGTGCTGAATGGATAATAGGGCCACCGAATCACACTAAAAGACTGAATCCAATCAATTAGCTAGTCTAACTCATGGTCTTATAAACCCATATATTCTCTCTTATTTTTTCAATGTGGGGACTCTTAGCACTGCTAAATTTTGATATGATACTTAATTTCTTCTCTTATGATTGCAGCTTGTTAAGCGACATGCGGCTGAGATTTTCACCTCTGTCATAATTTCTTCATTATTCTCGTTGTATTCTACTGCTTTCATTGGGCGGCTTGTTGGCTTAGAACCCGATTTAACAATATCGATTCTACCACGATGTATAACAGTCGCGCTTGCTCTAAGCATTGTTTCTTTCTTTGAAGGTCAGCAACTCCTTGAATTCAAAAGATTTTTTTTTTTTTTTTTTTTTTTCCCTTTTATATGAGAATATCACAAAAGGGACTTATCATATCAAACTCACTATTGCATATTATGATCCAGGTGCCAATTCGTCTCTCACGGCTGCTGTTGTTGTACTAACTGGTCTTGTGGGTGCCAATTTTGTTCAGACGGTGTTAGATAGGCTTGGCTTCACCGATCCTATTGCTCGAGGAATAGCAACTGCTTCTAGGTACGACCATTTTCTTGAGATGAAAAATAAGTTAGCCATTATCAATTGCTTCAGCTGCTTTTAGGAGACGAGAGAGTATTTTGTTTGAGTATGACCTTATTTAGATGATCTTCATTACTAGTCTTTTCCATTTTCATCTGCTACACTATATTGCAACTAAAAGAAAAGCTTACAATACAAACTTGCAATCACATTGTTGGAGAACAGACTCTGATACCATGTTAGAATCTAAGATTGGGGCCAAACAACGCTAAAAGACTGAATCCAAGCAATTAGCTAGTCTAACCTATGTCCTTATAAACCTATATGGAGGCTTATTATCGGTGTGTTGTTTCAGTGCTCATGGATTGGGTACAGCAGCGTTGTCGGCCAAGGAACCCGAAGCCCTTCCATTCTGTGCGATTGCATATGCTCTGACGGGTATATTCGGTTCATTGATTTGCTCAGTTCCTGCAGTGAGACAGAGCTTAATTGCAATAGTTGGTTGAATAGGAGGACTTGGTATTTGCAAGTGAAATCCTCTTTATTCCATTCTTACCAATCTCTTTCTCTATATATATTTGGTTGATGTGCAGAGCTATTTATTTAGCCCTTTTGTGTTTTGCATGTTGTCAAAGACAAGGACAATGTATGTATATGTATATATATTTGAAAATTAGAAGAATATTTCTTTATTGGGTTGACGAGGGAAATTTGCAGTTACTATCCGAGGCCTCGAGGGTGTGCAAGGTTTAAACACTATCACACACTGCTTCAATTCCCTATCAACCTCAACATTAATGTCAATTCTTTACCAAACTGCTCCATGGTTTTAGCTTTGAATTACCGGTTTATATCAATCTATATTTACATACTAATTAATTGTTTCAATTTGTAAAATAACAGATAAATAATATAGTTTATTCTACTCTTGATTACTTGCATTCAAGTGAGGACACCCCTTCTCATGAGAAGGTGAGAACATATCCGGACCGTGCAATAAAAAGATTTTAATGGATCAGATTGTGCATTATTTTAAGAGTTCTTTTTTTTTTCACAATTAATAAATAAGGGTGAAATTGTAATTGTGTAAGCATTTAAAATAGTAATAATTATTAATGCATATCTTTTCTGTGATTTTAGGAGATTTAATTATAGTAGAATTGAAATTTGTGTGGAAGGATTTATGGCTTTATTACGAAGGATTTTCTCATGATTTTACAAATAGCTTTGCAGAAGGATTTTCTCATGATTTTACGAATGGCTTTGTAGAAGGATTTTTCCATGATTTTACGAATGGCTTGACGGTGAGATGTGTGCACTTGCGTTGTCTACATGTAGGTTGTTTGCGGGTGTGTGCACCCACGTGACCGTTTGTGTGCATTCAACATGGAATGATGTGCATTTATTCTTATATGTTATCACATTTTAGACATGTGTTACATTAGTGTTCAGTGGTTTCATTCATGTGCAATTGTGTGTTGCGTTGTCATAGTAATTTAAAATGCCTAAATTATTAAAATATGTTGATGTAGGGTCATTTGCCTAGTTTTTCACAACGGGATACCAACAAAATAAGTTTCTTAAATGCACACAACATTACAAAAAAGTGCAAACACCTATGAAAAATGCTAATGGACAACAACCTAAAATGCACAAAACAGAATAAAGTACACATACATTATCCATTATGACTACATAAAACAACACTATGCTCCAAATTATCAAAATGTTGCCTAATAAAATGCTCTCGTCCCAAGTTGGCGACTAGCACTTTGTTTTACCGGTGTCACATTTTTTTAGCACACCCATCAATTGAACTTGATTGAGCTCCATGTCCTGAAAAAACAAAAATAATGACAAAACGAAAGTAAGAAACACATTCCAGAACCCATCACCGCTCTATAATGCATAAAAAGAACTAAAAAGAATGCACACACCATGCATAAAAATGCACACAAAGACATCAAAATGCACATAAGCCATCTAACAATGCACACACTGGATCGAAAAAATGCACACTATGCACTAAATACCCCACCTTCTTCCCCTATCACACATCTAGTCCCACTTTGCCACCCCACACACACACACACACACACTATATATATATATATATATATATATATATATATATATATATATATATATATATATATATGATATCTCGTGCGGTTGGACGCACCTTAAACATTTAAATGATGCACCTTAATCATTAAAATGACGCACCTTAAGCACAAATCACCACGCAACTTAAGCACACAAACAAAGTACCTTAAGAAACACAAATCACTCACCTTTAGTACATATAAACCACGCACCTTAAGCACAGAACAAAGCACATTTAGCACAAAGTCCACGCACCTAAGATTTTAAAATGAGTCACATTAAGCACAAACTCACGCACATTAAACACAAACTCACGCACATTAAGCACAAAACCCACGCACATTAAGCATAAATCTCTCGCACATTAAGCACAAAACCTATACACTTTAAGTTTTACCAACTACTCACATTAAGCACAAAACTCACGCACCTTAAGCACAAACTCACACATTAAGCACAAAATCCACGCACGTTAAACATAAATCTCACGCACGTTAAGCACAAAACTCACGCACTTTAAGTTTTAACAACTAATCACATTAAGCACAAAACCCACGCACCTTAAGCACAAACTCACGCACTTAAGCACAAATCCCACGCACCTTTAACACAAAACTTATGCACCTTAAATTTGACTTAGATGCAAAAATTATCAAATTGCCATCGCGTTTTTTTTTTTTTTTTAAATTTTAGTAATCCTGGACGTTGATTTAAGCAAGATCAATGACTCAGATTTAACCCCACAACAGCACCTGGTGAATAATTACTTAGGTGAGCACATGAGAACAAATCATGTGCATCAATCTAATATTTTTTAATGGTCTAGATTAGATTAAGTGTGTGTGAACGTGAATTAAATGTGTGCAAACGCGATTGTGCTTGCAAACATTTAATTCGCGTTCACACACACTTAATCTAATCTAGACCATTAAAAAATATTAGATGGATGCACATGATTTGCTCTCACGTTCTCAACTAAGCAAATGTTTTCATATGATCTTAAATAAATAAATAAATAAATAAATAAATATATATATATATATATATATATATATATATATATATATATATATATATATATATATATATTAGGGAAAGGTTCAGTTGCAGTTGATTCTTCCCGTGCGGTTGGACCCCCTTTAATCATTAACATGATGCACCTTAAATACACAAATCACCACGCACCTTAAGTCCACAAACAAAGCACCTTAAGAACACAAATCATTCACCTTAAGTACAAAAATCACGCACATTAAGCACAGAACAAAGCACATTGAGCACAAAACTCACACACTTAAGATTTTAAAATGTCTCACATTAAGCACAAACTCACGCACATTAAGTACAAAACCCATGCACATTAAGCACAAATCTCACGCACATTAAGCATTAAACTGATGCACATACAGACTTTAAGTTTCAACAATTACTAACATTAATCACTAACCCCACGCACATTAAGCACAAATCCCACACACATTAAGCACAAACTTCACTCACCTTAAGAACAAATCTCACGCACCTTAAGCACAAAAGCCCACACACTTTAAGTTACAACTATTCACATTAAGCACAAATCCACGCACATTAAGCACAAAACTCACGCGTATTACGCACAAGACTCGCGCACCTTATATACAAAACTCACGCACATTAATCACAAAACCACTCACCTTAATTTTGACCTAGATACAAAAATTACAAAATTGCCACCGCATTTTTTTTTTAATTTTGGTAATCTTGGACGTTGATTAAAGCGAGATGAATGGCTCAGATTAAACCGCACAACTGCACCCGAAGCGCTCACCCGCACGAAAACCGATATATATATATATATATATATATATATATATATATATATATATATATATATATATATATAGAGGATTATATTCAAATACAAACGGTCCTTAAAATACAAACGTGTGGATTCATTAGGATCGTTGGATTTTAGAATTGGATGTCTAGGATTTGTTTAATTATTTATGGTGTTTTTAAGGGTCCGATCGGCTGATGTATTTTAGTGGGGGTATTTTTGGATATTTTCATTTCTTAATATCGGTTCAATTCCTTCTCAAATTCAATCACCACTATTTTACGCGATATTCACGGTCTCTATCTCTTTCGATTCCGAACTGCACGACTGCCAAGGGATCCCTCTCTGTCGATTCATAATCATCATCAGCCGCCGCACGATGGTCGTCGGTGGGGTCTGCGATGGGGACCATCATCCCAAGGTTCAGATCGAGGTATTTTTTTGCTCCCCTTTCTCGTTTGGAATTTTTTTCTACTCGTTTTTTGGATCAATTTTGTTGGGGTGTTTGTCGTTTGGTGGTGGAGGGTGGTTATACATGTCGGGATCCTTCATCAGGCGAGGTGTATGTGGGGTGGGGATGGCTTTTGGCGGTTGCCGGGTGATTGGGTCGACGGACCTCGGGGGTTTTTATTATTATTTTTTTATTCCTTTTTCTGTTTTGTTTTTTTTTTTCCTTTTTTTGTACTGTTGCGCTCAATTCAATGGAGAGTGGAGACAAATTTTTAGGTCCGTCATTAAGTGAGTTGTGTGTGGGGGTGGTGGCTTGCAGTGGTGCATGGCGTGTTCGGGGTGGTTGTAATACAGTACCATTTTTTTCATTTTTTTTTTACTTCTTGTTTGGAAATTCAAGGAAAATAAGTCAGTAGATATTGTTGTTGTGCATAATTGTAGGCCTCATTGTAATTAGTTATATGATGAATTGGTATTATGAACGATGTTAATGTTGTAGTTGTTGTCTGTGATTATTCTCCGAAATAATAAATTGGCTTTAAGTAAATGCATGCTATGCTGGAACTCTCACTGGCCACCAGATTCTTCTTGGTGTGCATAGTGCTTAGTTTTTGGGATTTTTTATTTTTGCTGGGTTTTATGTGTGCACATTTTTGTTAAATGACATTTGTAATTGAATTTAAGAATTGATTAGTTGCAAGGTTGTGTTATAAACTAATGAATTCGTTGTGCGCATGCTTGTGAATAAATGGGTGCATTTGTTGGGATTTATGTGTGTGCAGTTTTGTTAAGTGACATTTGTAATTTGAATTCAAGAATTGGTTAGTTGCAAGGTTGTGTTATGACGTAATGAATTTGCTGTGTGCACGCTTGTGAATGAATGAGTGCATTTTCGTGATTTATGTGTGCACAGTT